ATGGGTCATTGCTTCCACACAAAGTACAAGGTAAAAGCACAAGCATACCTCAGTAAAATTTCTGGGCATTATTTGGTAAACAGAGCTGTTTATCCCTGGCATTGTCAAGAAATCTCTGTTGATCCTCTTAGCACCCATAATGCTAAAAGCCCAGTATCTTTTAGAACTTTGGGGGTCCTGAAGCAACATATTCCTCCTTTACACATTTTACTTAAGGCATTTTTTTTTTGAGTCAGAATCTCCCTCTGCCACCACGGCTGGACTGCAGTGGCATGATCTTGGCTCACTGCGACTTCCACTTCTCAGGTTCAAGCGATTCTCCTGCCTCTGCCTCCCAAGAAGTTGGGATAACACGCACCCACCACCAGGCTCAGCTAATTTTTTTTGTATTTTTTTAGTAGAAACGGGGTTTCAGCATGTTGGCCAGGCTGGTCTCAAACTCCTGACCTCAAGTGATTCACCCGCTTCGGCCTCCCAAAGTGCTGGGATAACAGGTGTGAGCCATCACACCTGGCCCTACTTAAGCCCCTTTTTGCTGTTCCTTACAAATTTGTTCACCTAAATGGGGTCCGCTATAACAAAAGGCTTAGAACCTATTCAAATTGCAAAAGGACAGAACCTACTGTTAGTGCTCCCCAGAAATTCCTTCACTGTAGAGGCTTTAGCAACCTCCTCTCATACTTCTATAGTCTTTGGTTCACTTGTGATGGCCATAAATTGCAGGTTTCTGATGCAAGAAATCGCCTTCCTCAGCCCAATGCTATACATCATTAGAGTGACAATTGCTGATTGCATACTGGACTCTTCCAAAAAGGGAGGCTCTTACAGGCCTTGAGACCATGGCACACTAGCTGCCCACTATGCCTTGGGCCATGGAAGCCACACCTCCAAAGCTTGGCATGGCTATTGAGGCTTCCTTGCTAAAATGAAAATAATATCTATAGTATGGAGCCAAATCTGGATCCTGTAGCATATCCCACCTGCAGGATGCCATGGGCTCCCCTGTCCTCGGTTCCTGACCAGATACCACAGTGCTGAAGGAGGCCATTCCTTTCTCAGACCTCTTGGCTTCTTGGGGATCCCTTGGGATCAACTAAGTGAACAGCAAAGGGAATTCGTATACTTTAAAAATGGCAGTGCTACCGTCATATCTGATTCTACGTTTTCCATCTCTTAACAGACATCCCTGATAAAATACAGGACCCAAGGATCCACACAATTTGCCAAACTTCAAGCAGTCATCGTGGCAACAAAGGATGCCCTGGCCAATAAGCGACCCCATCTTAACATTTTTCAGACCCTAGGCCATTGCCAATTACCTGGCTATCTGGTCCGACTAATGGCAACAACAGTTCTTTATCCAAAGTCATCCTCTTTGGGGTAAAGAACTCTGGAAATGTCTTGCTTGAAGATACCCAGAAATATAAATCAAGGTCAGATATATCTCTGCACATACTCAAGCCACAATACAAGGCCTCGCCAAGACACTCCTTATCCCCTTCAGAGTTCCACAAATCTTGAGAGTGACCAAGGCATTCATTTCATTTCTCAAAATACATAACATTGGGTTCTTTAATAAGAAGGAATTCAACAGAAATTATCCCTGCTTTACTGGCCTCAGGCTGCAGGTGTCATAGAGTACCATCATAGCATACTTAAACAAGTTTAAATTTAATTAAATGAAACAGGACACATTTCAGTAATCCATTAAACATCAGGGGTGAATTGTAACAGAATCTGATTCCATATTTGATGTTTGACCACTGACAGTTTTGAAGCCCCACAACTCCTCCTTAATCTTTGCCTTCCATTTGGTAGACAAAAAAGCCTAGGTGTTTCCTCCCTTGGCTCCAGCAGGTAAGTTCAAACACTGACTTGTGCGTGGGAAAACCATGACCTATTCCCAGCCCTTAACCCCAATAAGACCCAAGGCAACTTGCCCCTCCCTTGTTCTCAAGCCATTTGGGGGCCTTTTGGGGAGCCTGTTGTGCTCTGCCCAGAATGTCTCATGCCGTCTTTGTGTATATGTGGCATTATCAGTCTCCACATTCAAACCACATTTGGGTAGAGGAGCTGATCTTTGCTCTGCAGGGCAACCGTAAACAACCGGCACAAGTGTCAAGAAAGGAAGCCTGAGGAACTATCCCAGATTAAAGGAGACTAAGAAGAAAAGACAATTAAAGGCAATAAGCAACCCTGGACTGAATACTGGTCAAGAAAAGGGGCAATAGTAGGACAATGGACAAAACTGGAATGAAGTCTCCAGGTGAATTAATAGTATTGTATCAATGTCAATCTTCTGGTTTGGATGGTAGTTTTGTTGATGTTACCATATGAAGAAATTGGGAGATACGTTTATGGAAATTTTGTGTGCAATTTTGTAATTCTTCATAAGTATAATATTATTGCAAATTGTAAAGTTTTAAAATGTTTTAACTTTAAATGACTTTTCCAGACAAAAACTGAAAGAAACTGTCACCAGCATACCTGCGGTATACAAATGTTAAAGAAAATATATCAGGAAGAAGGAAAGTTACAAAGATGGATATTTGGGTCTACACAAAGGTATAAAGAGCACCAGAAATGGCAAATATGCACATAAACATAAAACACCTTATTTCATTTTAATATGTTTAAAAGACAATTTACTATTTAAGCAAAACATAATAGCAATGTACTGCAGGGCTCATAGCTATAGACAAATTATATGTCAGCAATAGCCACAAAAGAGGAAGAAATAGAAGTATACTATCGTATCACTCACTATACATGAGGTAATATTCTTTTTATTTATTTATTTATTTTTTTAGAGACAAGCTCTTGCTCTCTCGCCCAGGCTGAAGAGCAGTGATGTGATCACAGCTCACTGCAGCCTCAAACTTCAGGGCTCAAGCAATCCTCCCCACTTAGCCTCCTGAGTAGCTGGGACTATAAGCACACAGCACTACGCCCAGATAAGTGATATAATATTCTTTGCAGAAAGACTGTGATAAGTTAAAGACGCAAATTGTGCATCTCAGATGTGATGGTTAATTTTATGTGTCAACTTGCCTAGGCCATGGGGTGCCAGATATTCAGTTAAACATTATTCTGGGTATGTCTATGAGGGTGTTTCTGCATGACGTTATTTGAATCAATAGACTGAGTAAAGCACATTGCCCTCCCTAATGTGGGTGGACCACATCCAATCATTTGAAGAACTGACAAGAACAAAAAGGCACTCCTGCCAGAAGATGAAGGCTCTCCCTGCCTGTTTTTGAGCTGGAACACTGATCTTCTCCAGCCTTTGGACTCAGATTCAGACTGGAGTTATGCCACTGATACTCCTAGGTCCTCAACTTGTCAACTGCAGATCTTGGGACTTCTCAGCCTCCATAATCACGCAAGCCAATTCCTTACAATAAATCCTCCTCTGTCTATGTATGTATGTATGTATGTATCTATCTATCTATCCATCTACCCATCTCCTATAGGTTTTGTTTTTCTTGAAAAATCTAATACATTAAAATAACAGTAACCACTAAAAATTAAAACAAAAAAGTAGAGTTAATAAGCCAACAGTCAGTTGAAATGAAAGAAATCCTGGCCAGGCCCGGTGGCTCACACCTGTAATCCCAGCACTCTGGGAGGCTGAGGTTGGCGGATCACCTGAGGTCAGGAGTTCGAGACCAGCCTAGCCAACATGGTGAAACCCCGTCTCTACTGAAAATACAAAAATTAGCCGGGTGTGGTGACATGCACCTGTAATTCCAGCTACTCAGGAGGTTGAGACAGGAGAATCGCTTGAACCCAGAAGGCGGAGGTTGCAGTGAGCCCAGATTGCGCCATTGCACTCTAGCCTGGGCAACAAGAACGAAACTCTGTCTCAAAAACAAAACAACAACAACAAAAAGAAATCCTAAAACATATTCAATCTAAAAAAAGGCAGAAAAAGAGGAAAAGGGGAACAAATAACAGATAGTATAAATAAAAAGCAGATAGCAAGATGGTAGATATCAATCTCACCAAGTCCAATAGGTTTAAATATCAATATAAGAGTCAGATTGAATAAAAACACAAGACTCAACCATATTCTGCCCACAAGAAATTGCTTTTAAATATAGAGACACAGATAGGTCAATAATAAAAGGATAAAAATTCCCATTCACATAAAAAAATCAAAAGAAAGTTTGAGTGACTGTATTAATATGATATATATACATATACTATATATATATATTTTTTTTTTTTTTTTTTTTTTGAGACAGGATCTCTGTTGCCCAGGTTGGAGTACAGTGGTGGTGATCATGGCTCACTGCAACCTTTGCCTCCCAGGTTCAAGAGATTCTTCTGTCTCAGCCTCCTCAGTGGCTGGGATTACAAGCACACGCCATCATGCCAGGTTATTTTTTTATTTTTATTTTTATTTTTTGAGACAGAGTCTTGCTCTGTTGCCCAGGCTGGAGTGCAATGGCGCCATCTTGGCTCACTGCAACCTCCGCCTCCCTGGTTCAAGTGATTCTCCTGCCTCAGTCTCCAGAGTAACTAGGATTGCAGGCATGCACCACCACGCCCGGCTAATTTTTGTATTTTTAGTAGAGATGGAGTTTCACCATGTTGGCCAGGCTGGTCTTGAACTGCTGACCTCAAGTGATCCACCTGCCTCGGCCTCTTAAAGTGCTGTGATTACAGGCGTGAGCCACCACGTCTGGCCTAATTTTTATATTTTTAGTAGAGGTGGGGTTTTGCCATGTTGGCCAGTCTGTCTCAAACTCCTGGACTGAAAAGATCTGCCCACCTCATCCTCCCAAAGTGCTGGAATTACAGGCGTAAGCCACCACGCCTGTAATTCCAGCACCTCCTAGGAGCCAAGGGAAGAAACACCTATTTTATACATATAAAATAGAAAACAAGTTACACTTTAGAACAAGGACTACAGCCATGAATAAAGAAAAGCATTACATAATGACAAAAGGGTCATTTCACTAAGAAAATATATAAATCCTAAATGTGGTACATACCTAAAAATAGAGCTTCAAAAATACATGAAGCACCAAAAATGATAGTATTGAAAGGAGAAATCCACAAATTATAGTTGGATATTTCAACACTCCTCACTTGGTAACTGATAAAAGAAGTAAAAAGAAAATCAGTAAGTACACAGAAGATTTGAACAACATTAAATACTTTGACCTTATTGATCTCTACAGATATTCCACTCAGTGATAGTGGAGTCCACATTCATTTCAAGTGCACATGGTGCATTCACCAAAATAGACCATAATCTGAGCCATAAATTAATTCTCAATAAATTGAAAAGGATTGAAATTATACAAATTATGTTCCCTGACCAGAACAGAAGTAAACAGAAAATCAATAACAACAATAGCCAAAATTTCTGGAAATGAAACAACACAATCTTAACCCGTAGATCAAATTAGAAAGCATGAAGAAAATTAGAAAATATTTTGAACTAAAGGAAATTGAACAATACCACATGTCACAAAGTGTGAATGCAGTTAAGGATGCTCACAGGGACATTATAGCATTAAATACTTACATTACAAGAGAAGAAAGGTCTAGCAGCAACACTTTAAGCTTGTACCTTAAGAAGCTAGGAAAAAATAAAAGAGCAAATTAAACCCAAAGTAAGCAGAAGGAAGGAAATAACATAGATGAGTGAAAATCACTGAAATAGAAACTGTAAGCAATAGAGAAAATGAAATCAGCCAGTTTTAAAAACAGCCAGTTTTTTAAAAGGCAGACTGATCAAGAAAAAAAGAGAAAACACAAATTACCATTATCAGGAATGAATGAACATCACTACAGATCATATAGACATTAAAAGAATACTAAGGAATATTCAGAACAACTATATGCAAATAAACTCAACACTATGGAATACATTAACAAATTTATTGAAAAACACAAACTACCAAAGCTTTCCCAAGAAGAAATATATAATATGAATAGTCTTATGTATGTACAGAAATTGAATTGAATTTGTATCAAAACTCTCCCCACAGCTGTGCATGGAGGCTCATGCCTGTAATCCCAGTGCTTTTTAAAATAAGCCAGGAGTGGTGGCATATGCCTGTAGTCCCAGATACTTGGGAGGCTGAGGTGGGAGAATCACTTGAGCCCAGAAGTTCAAGGCTGCAGTGAGCTATGATTGTGGCGACAGAGAAAGACTCTATCTTTAAAAAAAAAAAAAAAAAAAAAAAAAAGCCAAAGAACAAAAAACTACAGTGAGACATCACCTCACACCCATTAGGATAGCCACTATCAAAAAACAAAACAAAACAAAACAAAAATTAACAGATGCTGACAAGGATGTGGAGAAATTGGAACTCTGTGCACTATTGGTGGGACTGTAAAATGGTGCAGCCACCATGGAGAACAGTATGGAGGTTCCTCAAAAAAAAATTAAAAATAGAATTACCATATGACTCAGCAATACTACTTCTTTTATTTATTGACAGATTTTTTTTTTTTTTTGAGATGGAGTTTTGCTCTTGTCGCCTAGCGCAATGGAGTGCAATGGTGTGATCTCGGCTCACTGCAACCTCTGCCTCCCAGATTCAAGCGACTCTCCTACCTCAGCCTTCCGAATAGCTGGGATTATAGGTACCCGCCATCATGCCAGGCTAATTTTGTGTTTTTAGTAGAAATGGGGTTTCACCATGTTGGCCAGACTGGTCTCAAACTCCTAACCTCAGGTGATCCACCTGTCTTGGCCTCACAAACTGCTGGGATTACAGGCATGAGTCACTGCACTTGGCGGATACTACTTCTTAATATCTACCCAAAGGAACTGAAAGTAAGAGAGAGCTTGAGGAGATACTTGCACACCCATATTCATTGCAGCACTGTTCACAACAGCTAAGAGGTGGAAGCAAGCTAAATGGCCATCAACAGTTGAATGGATAAGCAAAATATAGTATATAAATATAATGGAATATTACCTAGCCTTAAAAATAAAGAAATCCTATTACATGCTACAATGTGGGTGAACCTTGAAGACATGCAAAGTGAAACAAATCAGTCAGAAAAAGACAAATACAGTATGATTCCACTTATATGAGGTATCTAAAGTATTCAAACTTATAGAAACAAAGTAAAATGATAATTGCCAGGTGCTGGGGAAAGGGGGGAATGGGGCGGCAACTTTTACTCAGTGGGTATTGAGTCCTGTTTTGAAAGATGAAAATATTCTAGAGATCTGTGGCACGACAGTGTGAATATGCTTAACATACTGAACTGTACACTTAAAAAAGGTTAAGATGGGCTGGGTGTGGTGGCTCACGCCTGTAATCCCAGCACTTTGGGAGGCCAAGGTGGGCGGATCATGAGGTCAGGAGATCGAGACCTTCCTGGCTAACACGGTGAAACCCTGCCTCTACTAAAAGTATAAAAAATTAGCCAGGCATGGTGGCAGGCGCCTGTAGTCCCAGCTACCCGGGAGACTGAGGCAGGACAATGGCCTGAACCCGGGAGAAGTAGCTGGCAGTGAGTCAAGATCATGCACTCCAGCCTAGGAGACAGAGCAAGACTCCGTCTCAAAAAAAAAAAAAAAAAAAAAAAAAGGTTAAGATGGAAAATTTTATTACATGTTTTTACCACATTTTTTAAAATGTACAAAAAAAAAAAAACCCAAAAAGCAAACAAGCAAAAAACCTCATTGCAAGATTACCACAAACCCACCAGAATGAAGAGACAGACAGTGTCAGGTGTTGGTAGGCATATGCGGTAACTGAGTCCTCTTTGTCTTTTTTTTTTTTTTTTGTAAAGCTTACTTCTCTATGTATCTCACACATTACTAGTAGGGGTGTAAACTGGTCAACCACTTTGGAAAACTGTCATTATTTAGCAAACATAAACATATTCCTACTCTGTTAACCAATATTGTCCACTCCTGGGTCTCCAAGTGCAGGCATCCATCAAAAGACACAGATGTAATGTTCATAACAGCTTTTTCATAATAGCTCCAAACTGAAAACAACCCTTAAGGCCACCAAGAGTCAAACAGGTTAAATACATTGTAATAAGTTCATACAATTAATATAACACAATAATAAAATGAATGAACTACTGCCATATACAGCACCATGGATAGGTCCCACACAAGTAATATTGAGCAGATGAAGCCAAACAAAATAATACATACTCATGTTTATATGAAGTTGAAGGATTAGACAAAACTAATATATGCTGATAGAAAGCCAAATAATTGTTAGGGGGTATGGAGGGATTGACCAGAGGGCTATTAATTGGAAGGAGTTACAAGGGGCCTTCTGGTAAGCAGGAAACATCTTGATCTAGGTGGTAGTTACACAGATGGGATCTATGCAAAAATATATTGAGCCAGAGGTTTAACATTAGATTCTTTACCTCATGTATACTATATATCAACAAAAAGTGAAGAAAAAGTAGAAAAATAGACCCAAACAGAAAAAATTCTGGGGCCGGGCACGGTGACTCACGCCTGTAATCCCAGCTACTCAGGAGAATCGCTTGAACCTGGGAGGCTGAGGCTGCGGTGAGCCGAGATCGCGCCATTGCACTCCAGCCTGGGCAACAATAGCGAAACTCCGTTTCAAAAAAAAAAAAAACAAAAAAAAGGAAAAAAGAAAGAAAACATTTTGGAAGCAAAATTTAGTTTTGTCATACTTCTACATTCATGTTTAAGTGGATATAGAATAAAATTCCCATTTGGACGTATTTTCTCTCAGCAGTTCAAGCTCAACAGAACCTGCAAATGAGAGGAGGCTGCAGAAGCAAAGGATAAGAAGACACATCATGGCTGGCGCGGTGGCTTATGCCTCTAATCCCAGCACTTTAGGAGGCTGAGGAAGGCGGATCACCTGACGTCAGGAGTCAAGACCAGCCTGGCCAACATGGTGAAAACCCGTCCCTACTAAAAATACAAAAATTAGCTGGGCGTGGTGGCGCACGCCTGTGGTCCCAGCTGCTCGGGAGGCTGAAGTGGGAGAATCGCTTGAACACAGGAGGCGGAGGTTGCAGTGAGCCGAGATTGCACCACTGCACTCCAGTCTGGGCTGGATCAAGACTCCATCTCAAAAAAAAAAAAAAAAAAAAAAAAAAAAAAAAAAAAAAAAAAGAAAAAGAAAAAGGACACATCAATCCTAAATCTAAATGTGGTACACACCTAAGAAGACACATCAATCCTAAATGTGGTACACACCTAATAACAGAGCTTCAAAAATACATGAAACACCAAAAATGATAGAATTGAAAGGAGAAATGGGCAAATTCACAATTATAATTAGATATTTCCACACTTCTCACTTGGTAAAATCACTTGTAAAACCACTCTGCCCATTTTACAGAGGAAAAAACTGAGGCCTAAAAGGATAAGGGGTGGGGGCTGAAGTCAGTGGCAGAGCCAGGCTTAGGACCCAGACCTCAGACACTCTCTACCTGCCTCCTGGACCACCACCTGCAGGAAGGGACTGGATTGTGAGGGGGTGTCCCCAGTCCCATGCAGGCTAAGGAGGAAGCAGGGTCTCAGGGCTGAGGTCAGGCAGGGGGGCCACTCCTTAGATACCAACCAGCCAGGAATGCCACTGTTTGTCATAGTTTCACTGATTGTAGGTAGGTTAGAACCTCTATTTGCGTCTCAGAAATAAAGAGAAGAGCCTGCAATTCCAGGATAGCACGCTAACGAAGGGCCAAAACGCAAAGGCGTCCTGAGGGCTGAGATGGAAAGTGAAACTTTCAAGCTCCTTCTCTGACCTTGGCCAAGGTCGTTCCCTCTGGGTTCATAGAATAGGAATGAACCCATGTAAGGCACAGGGAACAGAAAAAAGGAGGCAGGTAGAGAGACAGCCTTCAGCCTGGTGCAGCCATCCCGGTGGGACAACCCCAGGCAGGAGCCGCTCGGTGTCCGAGGATGGCGGGAAGTCACTGGGCTGCGGCTGGGGCCGGAGGTGGGCGGAGGAGGGTCCGGCGCTCTCTTTTTCTCCAGATACGGAGCCCTACGTGTAGATCAGTCGCCTCCCGCCCAGGGTGTGAGCGCCCCCTCTCTTCTCAGCCTCCTTCGGCCTCGCCCCTCCCTCTCACATTTCCAACTCCCAAGGATAACTTGTCGCTCGCTTCAGACGCCCATGGCTTCTTTCAGTCCCTGGGACTCGGCTTTCTCCTCTACCTCTGTTGTCTATTTGTGCATTTGATGGTTTCTCTGGGCGCGCCCTTGGATCTGCTTCTCTCTTGCCTGTTATATTCTCTCTCTCTCTCTCTCCCTCTCCCCCACCCCGCTCTTCTCTCTCTCTCTCTCTCTCTCACTCTCTGCTCTCTCCGGCCATCTGGGCGCTGCTCCTCCGCGCCTCTGGCCTTCCCGCGGCGCGCCAGGCCCATCTCCTCACCAGCCGCTCTGGGATCCGACGGCGCCGCGGGTGGGGGCAGGTGAGACGGCCGAGCCCCCCCCCGCGGGCGGAGGCAGGAAGCGCTCGCGCCAATCCCCCTCCCGGACCCTGTTCTCGCCCGCAACTCCCCGGCGCCAGGGGGACGCAGGAGCATGAGCCCCTTCGCGCCCCAACGCCGTCGGCGTCGCTGCCCCAGACACAGACACTGCCTCGAGAGGCCTCACAGAGCGGGGGGGGCAGAGGGCGGTGACCCGGAGCCGCCTTATCCCCCGCCTTGGGCGCCGTCACAGTCCCCAGAAGCCCTGGGCTCCTGCAGTCTACCAGGACGCGCGGCGGACGGCGTGGTTCCGAGAGGTAGGTGAGGAGGCGGGCGCAGCCCTTCCTCTCGCAGCTGGGGACTGCGGCGTGAAAGGCCCCTCTCTAAGCTGGCCAGCCCCGTGGCCTGAGCTTTCAGGACCGACCGCCCATGGCAGGCGTGGGCTACCCAGGGCCACCGGCTTAACCTTGATCTCCAGACCGAGGCAGTTCCCCGGGTGGGGCTCGGGGCGCACCCGAAACGCCTTGGCCTTCCCATCCGCTCGCACCCGACCCTACCTCTCCAAGAGAAGGTTTGTGTATGGGGAAAAGGGTTGCCTCCCCTCGTTCTACCGGAAACCCTGGCTCCCCAGAGCCGGGTGCTCAGTGCCCCGCCCAGCCTGAGGCCCTGCGTCCTGGGCCGCCTGCTCACAACCCCCGATTCCAGGCGGATGAGAGAGGCATGGGCCAGCCACCCTGAGCAGCCTTGGGGATGAGGAATCGCTTGGGAAGGAAGAAGGGCCACTTTTCCTAATGGAAATTAGAAATTGGCCTGGAACTCTTAGTCTAGACAGAAGCCCCCAGGTCCCCAAGGTGCAGAATCAGCTCTCCCGCGCGCTGTCTCTCTAGCTGCCTCCTAGCGTGGAAGGGGCAGAATACTTGGGGGAGTCTCTTGCTTTAGCTTTTGGGGGCCGCATAGGTTTCCTTCCCCTCTGGACTGTGAGCAGCCTCCTGCCTGAGAGACTGTGTATCTGAATCTAAGGAATGCCAGGAGCCGCCATCTTATTTGAAACTCACACTCACAAAAACAGGGCATATGCATTTTTGTGGAGGGGCCTGTTGTTTATGGGAGTGGGCAGAGGGCATCCAAAGGATTTCAAACTGTATGGACTGACTCATGGGTCAATACAAAAATTATTCGCCTTTGAAAAGGCATGTAGAGAAAAGCAAGCATAAAGGGGTGTGCATCGTGCATCGTGGGTATTGTGGAGTCTGGGAGGAATTAGTAACCCGCAGGAGTCGGCTAGGAATCTTATATGACAGCAACTGTGCCTCTCGGAGTAGTTAACCACCGTTTAAAGATTAAGGATTTATACAGACATGCGAAAGAGACATGAAATTATGTGTTCCCAATTGTGCTCAATAATAAAGGCAGTAGAAGGGAAATTCATATTTTCATCTATATGCCTCCTCCCTCCCAAAGTAGACCATTGCTTGGTATATTTCACATATTCCACATAGCAGAGGCGGAATGTGCAACTGACTGCCCAGGACTGTGCTTTCCAGTACAAATGGAAGCACAAAGACGCCTAATGGAGAAGACTTGAGTTCTCTTTTCTCAGTGCACTTCCCTAATCCTTTGAGGAAGCAAGTCGGGGGAGCCTTTCCTGATATGATCTTCCCTCAAAATCCCCTTTTGGAGCTGCAGCTCCTCGCTTTCCCTAAAGTCTGGTGCACTTGGCTCCAAGTCCCCATTTCCCCAGTTCAGAAAGGATGAAGCCTCCGCCACCCCAAACATATAGCCCTTGGCTCACCAGGAGAATTGCTCACCTTCTGCCGTGGTTTAGAACACCACCCTACACAGGCATACACATACACACTGCCCCAGAAGAAATACAAAGAAAAGCTTTGCTAGTCCAAGCAAGGTGTTGTGGGAGACCTCAGAGACCCTTAGAAAGAGCCTTATTCTCCACACTGCAACTTGAAAGACCCAGGACATCCCTCCCACCCCCACAACAGACATGGTTCTCACCACCTGGGAAGGCACCAAGCCCATGAGGACAGGAGAATCTGTGGGGCTGGGAACTTCACATCCTACCCACCCTGCCTCCAACTTCTTTTTGTTTCTGGCCAGATTAAAAGTCAAGCTTAAAGTGCTGTTGGGTTGGAGAGTTTTGTTATTTTAGTCTATTGATTCCTCTCCCTCGTTTTCTTCTCCCTCATCTTCCTTTTACTCCCAGGTTTTGCCCATTTTTTTTTCTCTCTCCAAACAGAAAATCTGTGAATTTTCTGGGCTTGAACAGAAGGAATGAGGAGGGAAAGGAGGGAATATTTGACCTATCCAGGCAGCAATCAGAACTGTAATTGACACCAAGTCATCCTAGCAGACCTTGTCCTCACAGGCTTAGAGGATATTTGATTCTACAATCCCCCACCAGCACCCCAAGATCGAATGATACCTCCTTCCTCAAGAGGGACTAAGGATTTGGGGCTTCTGCAGTTTTCAAAAATGGGAGAAGACAAAAATGCCATCATTATTCCAGTGGCCAGGTGTGGAAGGAGTCTGCAGTTTGGCCAGAGGCCTGGTCTCAGAGAAAGGAGTCTTGAGGGCTGACCTAGGGCCGACTTGGTTCTGACCCTGCCTGCCAGTGGGGAACCTTGGGCTCTTCACCAAGTAAAGGCAAGATCAAGGAATTGGAGGTCTGAGTCCCTCTCTTGCCTAACTGCCCCAAAGGCCCCAGAAACTACTCTGGGCCAAAACTCAGGCATAGTTGAAAGAAAGAAACAAATACTGGAAATACCCAGATTTATAATCTGCTTAGACACCCAAACTCATCCTTAAAGCGGTAAATACAATTTATCTCCTTGGCTGCCTTGCAACTTTCCACTCAGTTTGGCAATGTGTAGATGGGGTCAGCTTGAGTTTCAGAGCTTGGGGGTCCAGCGCTCAATGTCTAGAGAGCTAGATCTGGGGCCTCTCACCTCCTTTCCTCATGTACCTCCTCTTGCGTCCTTCCCCTCCCAGGGCTTCTCAGAAAGTGACAGCTGACTTTCTTGTAGAACTGTGAAATCCCACAATTTCAGAGGATTTCAAATTCCTTGAACTTCAGGTTGAGAACTATTTGGATTAATCAGAGAAGTTTGTGTCTGGAAAATGTTGAGACCAAATGTGGGTCTTTACTTTTTTTTTCCTTTAGCTGATCTCAGTGCTTACCAGGTCAACCTTCACCTTTAAAAACACCCTGGTGGCAGTGTTTCTTTGCCACCACTGTCTGTAAAGCAAAGGGCAAAAGCATCTCGGAGCTTTTAGTTGGGCCGGGAATTCAAATGCCTCCTTTCTCAAGAAGATGCCAAAGTGGCCACCCTCGGCCCACTTTCCATCCTTGCCTCCTCTGACCTTTCCCCAGCTGCAGTTATAGGAATAATGGCCTTTAACTTGCAGAGATCATTAAAGCCAAAGCCCCCACTCTTTCCCATCACCCCTCTTGGGGCCGTCTGAATCGCTTCTTCCACAGCCCTCCTCTTTTGAAGCACTCTCTAGTACTGTTAAAGGTCGAATTTCGGCTGGAGCGAAGGTGGGGGCTTAGTCCAAAATAACCTAGATATTAAGTAACAGTAATGACTTTTTAAAAGATAACTATGAACTCTCAAGCCTCGACCACCCAGAAAAGTTCCTCCTTAAATTGTTGACGGCGCTGGGTGCAGACACGCAAGGACTGGCCAGAACGCCAGAACCTCCTTTAAGGAGAGAGAAGTCAGTGCCCAAATTCCTCATGCTTTAAAGCAATATAAGAGGAGACAGTCCAAATTTTTACTCGTTAAACCTCCTCTTACCTCTTCCTCAGGTCTGTTCACTCCTTGGTCCAGGGAGCTCCTGGGCTCCAAGGTGAACTAGAGGGAACCAGAGGCTCCCCGCAGCAACCTTCTCGCTTCTGGGCTCCTCCTGGGGGCTGAGTGGTCCCCTTTGCCTTGCTATTCCCGCTGCGGCTCCTAGGGGGACAGCTCCACGGGACCAGGTCTCTTCGAGGGGTGGAGGGTCGCGGAAGTCGTGACCAAGGGTTGGAGACCGCTGAGTCCCTCCGCTGCGGACCTGCCTGGGACTGCGTGGAATGGACCAAGTCCTCCGTCTAGGATTCCCTAGTGCACGACGGCGAGCACTCCGCAGTGCTCCGCTGGCGATCTGCACCTGTGTCCCGGGGCTGGGCGCAGAGTGAAGAACTCCGTGCAAGCTGCTGACCGGCTCCGCTACTGCCTCCCTGCTGTGAGCGGGAGAACAGGAAGTCTGCCCCATAGGGAGATGGCCGGACGGGAGCCGCAGAGTCAGCGTTGAGAGGAAGGTCAGCGGCACCTCGGGATTCCGCGCACCTTCAGCTCCCTCTCGCAGACAGCCCAGCCGCGGGTTGGCGCCGCAGTGATGGAAACTGGGGAGGAACTAGGTTGGAGTCCCAGCAGTCCGGAGGAGGGGGCCAAAGCAGAGGATTAGGAACCGGGCTTTCATATCCAGCCTCGGCGCCCGGAAGCGGTACTTAAGGGGCGAAGTGAGGCCACAATTACAAAGGTGCGCCCTCCGACGCCTCAACGTCAAGGGCCTGTAGATTCACAACCTCCGCCGTCGGGGAAGGGGGAAGATGAGGTGTGATAGGGAGGCTATGTCCAGCCACCAGCGCAGGGAGTGGCTCTAAACGCTGACCCAGCGCCTCGCCCCAAGCGGGATCTTGGCGCGCGGATAGACCGAGCCCGGGGTGGGGCGCCTTGCAGGGCTCCCTCGCCCTTACCGAATGAGCATCTTCTTCCCGATTTGCTGCTCAGAGAGGGAGTGGGTCCTGGTCTCTGAATCTCAGCGCTCCCGACTACCTCGCTGCTCCTAACGAACAGTTCATCTGCTCCCTCCTGGCCGCCTGTGCCAGCGCCGCTCACCCACTTTTCCAGCCCTGGATTTCCTCTCCCCGAATACGACCTTCCTTCCCACAATTAACAAATGATCTAGCGAAACCCCGCCAGGTCCCCAGCAGAGGAGCACCTCCATCCGCCCGAACCAGCCAATTAATCAGAGCATTAAGGAGCCTGAGGAGTTGTAATTGGGTGGTTTGGGATGAGGGGGCGCTGAGGAGGTCATTAACCCCAGCGTAAAGATGGGGAACGGAGACGCGCCTGGCCGCCTCTGCCGCCCCTCTGGACTCTTCTTAGCACGCGGGTTTTGGCCACTCCACCTGCCTGCTGCGCTCCAGTTCCCGCCTCCAGTCCAGCTACTTCACTTCTCTCTTTGTCATTCTCCATCTTTTCTCTGACAGCCGTCCAGGGCCCCTTTCTTTGTGCCTACTTCTGTCTACCTGTCCAGCTGTCTCTTGCACCCTTTTTGTGGCCCAGCGGCCAAGAAAACTCAAAGGTCATGGCTGTTGGCCCCCGCTGATGGTCTCTGGGCTCTGGGGTTTCAGACAGTTCCTCAGGGCTGGTTGGAAATGATGGGAGTTGGAGATTTGGACATTATACCCATTCCCCAAGAGAAGGGCATTTGCACAGGGGAGGTGTTTCCTGAAACGTTCAATTCTCTTTCGGTATGAGATGGCTTTGGACGAGGTGGCAAATGGCGGAAGGTCCAGGCCCCAGTGGATAAAAGCTCCATATCACTTTGATTAGAGACACAGAGACCTTGCATACTCCTTGTCTGAAAAGGCAAATACGGAGGAGGTAGTGACTGGGTGTTGTGGCCTGCCTGGTCTCAGTCCAAGAGTCCCCAGCACCTGTGACCTGGTGCCTGGTGTTCCAGGAAATCCAGGTGACAGTGTCTATTCAACCTTGTGGAACAAGAAATTGTTTGTCCTTTTAATTTGTCTTGTCAGATACCCAAGTCTATTACAACACCTCCCTTTGCATTACGTTTTTGGTTGGTTGTATAAGATTAGCGGATGAGAGGTTCTTAACATTTTGGGGGGCCGCTCCCTGATAAGATAATTTAAATTTTGATGAACAATATTGATTTCCCTCTACCGAGAAAAAAAATGCACTTATGTAGTACTCACCAAATCCCACAATTTCAGAGTTTCAGTCTCCTCAGACACCAAGTTAAGAACTACAATTTGGATAGATCAAAGGAGCTGGTGTCTGGGAAATGCCGAGGCCAAATATAGTCAGTTTACGTAGCTCTTCACCCTTTCTCTTGGCTGACATCTCCATTTTGCCAGGTCAACCTTCACCTTTAAAAACAGTCCAGTGGCAGTGTCCTCTCCCCACCATTACCTGTAGGGTCTGGTCTCCCAGTGGGAGTCAGTCTTTCCTTCCCAGCGGGAGTCAGTCTTTCCTTCCCAGCACCTGGGAGCCTGAGAACGTGGGAAGAGCTTTGCTAGGGAAAGCTGATCTTGCAGTGGCCAGCAGTTGGAAGTGCAATGGAAGGAAATCAGGCTTAAGCAGCTTCCCAGGAACTTAAAACCATACCAGAACTCCTGAAAGGGAAGACTATCTGGAAACAGCCTCCTAACTAAAGCTGTCTGTAAGTCAAGCAAATGGGGATTGGGCAATAGAATGTTCCTTTGTGTCCCTTATTGACTCACTTATTACTTTTTCTCAGGGACCCCGGCTCTACTTGGGGCTGATTTAGCCAAGGTTAGAGGCTGGGGAATACCAAATGCTGGACTTAAAGGGGAAGGATTTGCTCCCTAATATTTTAGTAATCTTGTTTGTAAGAGATAAACAGCATGTGACCCCTGACTATCCTGGGGGACCTCCTAATTACGCCCAGCCTCATGCGTTGTGGCCTGTTTAGACACAGAGTGTAAAGAAGGACTTAGCTGTTCTTCCCCAGCCTATTAAGTTTCCTGGCCATCTCCCCACCTGTGTGAATTGACCAAGCTAAATCTCCCAGGAGAAAAATCAGGCTTCTTTGGGGTCTGGGAAGTAAATAAACTTCATTTTTCGAGGACTATGTTAAGACAAATTAGTATAACTGGAAATTATCTGGCTAATTGTACCCTCCCCCTCCAAACATACTTATACTCCAAACCCAAGCCCTCCTGGCTGCTCCTCAATTGTCTATATATTTCAAACAAATGTGACTTGGCACAGGAAAGACTCCAACTCATTTCTAGTTGCCACTCTCTGCGCTGTACAACCACCACCCACCTGCCCAGCAGTTCGAGGCTGTGACAAGAAACCAATGGTTGGCTAATAGTATTCAGACCCCTGCCTGAAAATACAAAGAAAAAAATAAACAATTCTCTTCTTGGGACAGCTTAAACTGGATAATCCTGGCTGTGAAAACCTGACCTAAATGCTTTTAATCAGAGCAGAAGAAATATATGCTCATTGGCTCCTTACTTTACTAATTAAAGAAAGCTAATTGGTGTTCTCAGAAACTTCCGACTGAGGGTCAGGAGCCTCTAGCCATCTCTTTGCCTGCCCCACCCCTCCCTGCACTGGGCCCTGCACCGTGGAGTTGGCCTTTTTCTGATAGACAATTGGAAGGGGGTGCTCCCGACCTTCTGGCTCCGCCCCTGCATTAGGACTTTGGCCCTGAAAAGGCAGTGCTGCTATTGGCCAGAAGTTTTGGCCCAGCAGGCTTGTCCCCTTTCTTGTGTCCTGGACTTGTTTCTAGGAGCCAAGACCTCTTGCTGGCTGCCACATCAGCACTGCCAACTGGTAGGGTGCAGCCCTGCTGAAGCTCCAGAGCTCAGCCCAGTGCTGGGCACAGTAGGTGCTCAGGAAATGATTGCTGAATGTGGAATGAAAGTCCCCAGCAGGCAAAAGCCTATGACTTCTTTCGGTGGGGCGGTGGTCCTCTGGGGAGAGTGCATAGAGAACTTCAGGGCCGCCTCCTGGGTACCCAGGAAGTGGGTAAGACCTGGTTTTTGTCAAGCATTTCTCAGATGTTCTGTTTAATTCCAGCTTCCTGGCCCCCTATTTCTTGTCTACCCATTTTATAAGGCAGGACCGTGCTCACCACAGCAAAGAGAAAGAACTCCTTGAAAAGTCAAAGGAATACAAGTCACCACTTCTCAGACCTTTCTCCCATGAGATCCAGATACTTCAGGCTAAAGGGAGTTTGAACCTGAAATGAGCCAGATAATTGCCCCAATTCTCTGTACCTTATTGAAGAGGTAGTTACAGGTCAAGGGGTCCAAGGGGCCTCACTTTTATAGACGTTGCTCTAAGTCAAAAGAATACATTATACATATACAGCTGAGACACACACTCTCCGTCCTAGGCCGGCTCTCTGTGAACAAAGCATATTTCCTCCTTGCCACTCACCCCCTATTCCCGTTTTCCCCCTCCTCTTTTCTCTTCTTTCTCCTCCTTGTTATTAGTAGTTACTGTTTACTAAATGCTGCCTCTGCACCAGGTGTTGTGCTAAATGCTAGACACATAGTAAATCATAGTACATTAATTAATCCTTACATTAACTTTAAGAGTTAAGATACCAGATTTTACAGATGCAGAAACTAAGAGTTACTTTTCAAGCATGAAACACGTGTGTGTGTGTGTGTGTGTGTGTGTGTGTGAGAGAGAGAGAGAGAGAGAGAGAGAGAGAGATACGGGCAGATCTGAGTGCTCAAGTGTTATAAAGATAGAAATAAAGAAAATTGAGAATGAGGAGATCTTAAAGTTTTGAAATATAGAATGCTTTAATAGGATGCAGATAGTTTCTCCTGCCCTAAAGTGAACAAAGAAGTGAGGCAATTAACTGGCTAATTCCAAGACCCAAATGCTTTCCCTTGAAATGGGCGGATAATGAGGCTGACAGTATGTTCGCAGTTGAATTCGCCTGATGTTGCTCCATTTTTTCCCCTTAACTTTAGCGAATCCATTGGGCAATCACAGTGAGATGCACAGACGTCGCCCCGGACGTGCACATATTCACACACACACTCACACACAGGAATGCTGACACACACAGACCTGACTTTATTCTGCCTCTAGAGTCTTTTATGACTCAACCTCCGGAATGAAAATAGGGGTTGGAGTGAAATAATGTGTCCGAGGGCGCAGCTGCTCCAGATGTGCGCTGGGTAATTAGGCATCCTCAAGAGCTCGTGCCCGGCTGGGAAATGCACCTCTTGTGGGACTGCAGATCCCAGCAGGCACCCCATCGTAGTCTGGCCCATAGTAGGTGCCTGTCCTTTGCTGCCTGGTCCCAGCAGCCTGTCCCTCCTCTTCTTCCCTTCTTCCTCCACAAATGATTCTCTGGCGCCTCTGTTTTAGGAATAACTGCAGAAATGTCTCTCAGAGGGCTCTGCAGTATAAAATGGCATCTCTGCCACAGGGGAACGGGAAGAGGGACCCTGGTTTCTCCTATCCTGCTCTTCCTAGGCCCTGGACGTCTCTGAGGGGCTCATTCCAGAATAAGACCTCTCTTTCCTTGCTCCACAAGAATTTAACAAAGAGGCCCTATTTGGGTCAAGTAGGAGAGTGGCTTGACTGGCCCTAACACCCCTGGTTTGGGGGCTGCGGAGCAGTCCTGTTGCTGGCAGCTTCTCTTAGTTGTGGAGCCTCTTTCACAAAGTGTTCGCACTTCTCAACTTCCCTGTCCAGTAGGTCTTAATCTGGGCACCTCGGGGCCTAAGGCACTTGGCCAGGGTTGTGCAGCCAGGGAGGTCATAAGTGAGGAGTTAGCATTTATTGGAAGAGAGGGGACTGGATTTGTCCTGGCTCTGAATCCTGGCCCAGCTGTCCCTATGTCCGCCTCCAGTTTTCTCATGGGCCTCCACAAATTTGAAACTCAAGAAACGCCAAACGTCCAACATAGAAAACACCAAAAAGCTGCCTTTCTGGAGATGAATTTTGCTTACAAGAAAGACACGTTTTGAGGGGGTGAATGGTTATGGTAATTTCGGATAAAGAACATTACCCTTGGAATAGAGGGCTCCCCCTCCAGCCCTGCTTCACCACTTTTAATAGCTGCTCTGATCTTGGGCTAATCACTTAATTCCTTCGGACCTCAGTGTCTTCTTTTGCAAGCTGGGGGAGGGGGTTAAAGATGCTGGCGCTGCCCTCTAGCCTGCTGCTGGGGAGATCAAAGGAGATTCGGGCTGTGGAAGGCTCCCTAGCGTAGGAGATGGGGTTAGAAGGTAAGGGCCAGGGGGTGGGGGCGGATGGGGCCTTGATTAGCTGTGGATTTCTGTCCCAGCGCACTCATTTAACCGTGTTTCTCTTGGTTGGCAGAGGGCGCCAAAGGCGACATGCCGGCGGCCAGCTCCAGGCCGAGCCCCGAGCGCCTGCGGGAACAGGCCCCTTCACCCGGCGCGGGACGCAGAGCTGGGCGAGAATCTTGTTCAGCGCGGACTCAACGCCAGGGCGCCGCCTAGAGGTCGGTTTCTCTCTCGGCCTCACCCGCCGGGAGACCACAAGAGCTGCTTCCCCAGCCGCCCGCCGCCAGAAATAGGAAAAAAAAAAAAAAAAAAAAATCCAGCTGGGGTCTAGGAACTCGGCTTCTGGCACCTCTGACTTCTCCGAGACTGTCTCCTCCCTCCCCGCCCCGTAATGAACCCCGTGAAGGGAGACGGGCCAGGAAGTCCCAGAAATATTTATTCTTGTGACTCTCACAAAATGGAAGAGGGTCTCAATTTTTAAGGATCTTGTGTTCTGCGTCTGTTGTCTACACTGCCTTCTCTCACTATCCAAATTGCCAGCCCCCCCTCCAGTTATGCTAGAACTCTGCTTTATCTTCAAGGAAGAAAGGGAGTGGGGAGAAGCTACCTCTAAACCCTCCAGCGCGGCCATCAATTTTCTTAATTTGGAGATCAACATGCTTTTGGAAAAATGTTTGGAAAACGTTTGGGGGTGAAAAGAAATGTTGCCTAACTGGCCTTTACTCTCTGAGTGACCATCATCTCAGCTAGTTAGTGTATGAGCGGCACCAGCACCCCGGCCATGGGGGTCCGTGCTGAGCTTCTGAAAGTTGACTTCTCCTTTGGGGAGCCCTCGGAAAGACACAGCTGGTATCTGTGGGAACGGCTTTGGGGTGTCCTTTGGCACCATACAGAGAATTTTATTTTTTTTAACTGGAATCCATGGCCTGGGTTCTTGGGATGGGGGTAGGAGGAAGCCACAAACCCCCTGGAAATGTATGCAAAACATATGGGTGTGCAGGTGCATCATCATAGGGCTATAGTCTCTTCAGTTTTTCCTAAGAGTCTAAGACTATAAAAGATTTCCATCTCCTTTTCTCAGCCAGGGAGCCACAGCGACCCAGGCCAGCAACAGGCTGGGAACCAGCACACCGACCGGCCCCCACCAGGTGCCTGGTAGGTGATGGGTAATAACACTCTTGAATGGTCTGGAAACTGCTGGCCCCTCAGTCCAGCCCTCCTCCCAGAGGGAAATCCTGATAGAAGGAGTGACAGCCAGTAGCTGCCATCTCAGTATTTTGAATAAAAATATAACATGATAAAGAGCAAATGAGAGAGGTTGGAGGGGCCTCCCCATGCAAATCCTGGAATATGAATGTTGGCCAGAAATAAGATACTTCCTGTCCTCCAGCAGTTAAAGAGCTCCCCACTTCCTCCCTCTTGGTGCTGGGAAGGGGCCAGAGGGCACGGCCCCCAAACCACCACCCACCTCTGGAGAGCTGGAGCAGAGTGGGATTGCCTGCAGCAGAGTTAGCCCTTCAGAAAATTCAAAACCTGTACTGCCTAGTATTTTCCCTGCCTGTTTCTTTTTTTTTTTTTTTTTTAAATCAGATTTTTAAAACATCCAGCAGCACTTTGGTGCCTTTTCTTGGGGTTGGGGAGTGGGGTTATCTATGTGTGTATCTATGGGAAGGTGGATGCCTTCAGTGCACTAAACCCCCTCCTGGGCCTGCAGCTGGACCTCACTCCTGTACCTGAACACTCTGCCTCAGCCTGAGCTAATCTTAGCCATCCATTGTGTCTCAAAACTGAACTCGCGGTGTTTTGGGGTGAATAACTGTGAGGCAGGATGGAGAACCTTTTGCTCTCCCATCCAGAAAGGCACCTAACCAGGCCCCTGGAGCAGACAAAAGGAGCAGGACGTCAATCACTTTGCTCCCAGTTCTCTGAAGCCCAAGATGAAAAGGGATTGTCCTTCATTTTGGTTCGGAGGCCTAGTAGAGAATTTGGATTCCACGAAGTTTTGAACAAAGTAAATGGTTCAGAGCAGGCAAAAACTATGGAAACTTGAGGCCTGGGTAGTAGTGGTTTTATTTGATGTTGAGGCTTTAAAGAGATGAGGAGATGGTGGTGGAGCTCCGCCACGCAGAGTGGCTCTCACTTCCACCCCGAGGAAGACCGACGGACCCCTGGGTTTATCCTCTGGGAGCCCGCGGCCCACTCAGCCCCCTTCAGGCCTTGGGAGTCACCCGGACGCAGTCTTATCTTCTGCCCGCTTCCAGCAAGTACCCGGCAATAAACAGGCAGGTCTGGGCAAAGGTCTGGTCGCTAGAAACGGAAAAGGAAAGATAAAAGTAAAGTTAAACAAAAAACAAAAACAAAAAACCCTTGGGCTGGGCGCTGTGGCTTACGCCTGTAATCCCAGCACTTTGGGAGGCCAAGGAGGGTGGATCACGAGGTCAGGAGTTCGAGATCAGCCTGGCCAATATCGTGAAACCCCGTCTGTACTAAAAATACAAAAATTAGCAGGGCGTGGTGGCGGGCGCCTGTAGTTCCAGCTACCTGGGAGGCTGAGGCAGGAGAATCGCTTGAACCCGGGAGGCGAAGGTTGCAGTGAGCCGAGATCCTGCCACTGCACCCCAACCTGGGTGACACAGCGGGACTCTGTCTGAAAAAAAAAAAAAAAGAAAGAAAGAAAGAAAGAAAAGAAAAAACCCGCTTTCAGCGGAAAGATGCAAAAAATGGAGGCCACCGGGCGTGGTTGGGAGAGCCTGGGCTTTCACAAGGAAGCGCCAGGGAGCCCAGCTCTGCTTTGGCGAGGAGCGGGGAACCTCATCCCAAGCCGGGCGAGCCGAGCGGATCGTAGGGTGTGCGCGGGGTTCTGTGGATTTTCCGTGTAGGCGGCGGCTTCCAGTCTCTGCCCCGCGCGGGCTGGGTCAGCGCGGACTCCTCCGAAAGAAGAGCGCGCCTGGCGGCCGGTTCGGCGGAGGCCAAGGCCCGGGGGCCGGGGCTGCTTCTCTCCACGCGGACAAAGTGTGAGGGCAAAGAAAGGGGCCGAGGCGGGTGCTTCTACCGCTCGTAAATTTGTTTCCCCTTCCTTTTAATCCGCCCCCGGACGTCTTTCTTTTCAGGACAGGAGGGGATGTAAACCGTTTGAAGTTCATCAACACGGTGAAGTTTTATTGTATTTCCGGTCCCCAAGATTTATACCCGGGAGGGGGAGCGGGCGGCCAGGCGGACTCCCTCGCTACCTCGGACTTCCCTGCCGGACACGTGGCCACTCGGACCCTCGCTTCGGGGCGAGGGCGGGCGGGAGCCTGGACTGGGCCGCGGCCGCTGGCTCCGCACCTTCCCATGGCGGTGCACGGCCGGCACCGCCGCCGCCCAGGTAAGTCCGCCGCCGCCCTCGGCCTGCACAGCCGCGGTTCTGGGATGGGTGCGGGTGCGGGTGTGGGCGTGAGTACCTGTGACCAGGCGGGTGTCTGGGGAGGCACGGGTGAGGAGCTGGCACGTTAGGGGGCCAAGTACCCAGACCCAAGGTCAGGAAGGAGGAAGCAAATTTGTTCTCTGCGCCCCAATCACAGTCCTTAGCCTCTTAGTCCTTATTCTGCGAAGATTCTGAATGAATTGTCTTACCTGGAGCAGCGCGGCCTCTGCAGAGCCAGGGCCCTGGGACATTTTGGGCAGGGTGCCTTCACAGCAACTGTTCAGATCAACCAGCTTTCCCCTCCAAATCCCATTCTTCCTCTGTTTGTTCCTAGAATTCCCGATACTTTCTGACACTCTGCTTTTCCACCTTTCTCTCTGGCACTTTCTCGGCGCTCTTTTGCCCCACTCTCCTGTCTGCGCCCCAGTCTCAAAGCTGGAGGATGTGTAGGACTTGAAGATCTAGCCTCTCAGAGCTACACTGGGAAGCTGGGTGAGTTGAAATACAGGGGCTAGCGGGGTGCTGAGTGTAGATGCACCTTTGTATCGGTTTGAAGTTGAGAATTCTTTTTATCTGTGGAGACCTCCAGCTGGGCTGAGAGACAGAGACTGAGCAGGTATATCAAAGAGGCCCTGCCCAGGCTTGTGCCTGTGCCTAGGGTCTTCTCTGGCCAGGGCTCCTGGAAGGGAGTAAATGTCTCTGCAATCTGAGCTGTCAGGATTGGCTACAAAATGGTTTTGCCTAGAGTCCTGGGTTCAGTTCTTCCGACGTGTTGTTTAGTAGCAACTGGGTTCTTCTCTTGGGGAAGAGGTGGAGGAAAATGAAGTTAAGCCGCTTTTTGGCCCACAAAAAATGGCCACAAGGTTTGCCCCCAGTGAGCCCTTGACCTAGAGCTTGAACTGGAACTGCTGAGTGAATTAGGTAGTTTCATGTTGTTGGGCCTGGGTTTCTGAACACAACAACATTAAACCACCCGATTCACGGCAGTTACTGCTCCTCGCTTAGCTGGAGGAGTTGGGGGGAGGGGAGCAGAATCAGGACTGGAGGATCAGCCTTGCAAAATGGGGAAGAGGTTTGAGGTCCTTCATCCAGGAGCAACAAGGATGTTTCCCAGAAAAGATCTGGGAAGTGTGTGTGTGTGTGTGAGAGGAGGGAAAGGGGGATAAGGAGCAGTCATCTCTCCCAAGGCACCCCCCTGGCCCTGTTGAGCTGTTCAGCCCAACCCAAAGATGGCAGTCAGAGCTCCAAGCTTCCAGCCTTAGGGTCTCTGAGCTCTCACCTACATCCAAAACTTTCCAGAGAAAGTCTCCCCAACTTCACAAATATTTGATTTCAAAAGAAACACAGGGGGGTTCTTGAGGTTTCTGTAACTCTTTGGGGGTTGGTGCTCCACCTCAGCGGGAAGCTTCAGGTCCTTGAAGAGGGCTTAGTAGGTCTCATTCTGAAAGGGAAACATCTAGAGCTCTTGCACTCTTAGTCTGAAGCCCTTAGGGTCTTGTCGAAGGCCCCCTATGGGACCGGACCTACAGAAATAGGTCAAAAAAGTCCTTCCTTTCCTAATCCCTCAGTTGACTTTTTCCTCACCACCCACCCCAGTGGCCAGAGCTTCCCTCTGGCCTTGGGCTGGGCTGGGGGTACACATAGGTCCTGAGTGCCACCCCCTTGGAGAGGGGCCTGACTTGCAAGCTAATGGGGAGCCCAGGTTGTTGGACAATTCAACCCCAACTGATGCAGTGACAAAGGACAGAACCAGGGGTTGGACAGGGTGAGACTGTGATACCCTCTCTGACCTCGGTCCTCTTAAGGCTGCTGGTCCTGTGGCCAGGAAAGGAATAACTAGAAGTGCTGGTGGAAGAAGGGGGACTTTCCAAAGCATAAGCTAACTTTTGTTCCCAAACTCCCCCACCCCCCAGCCCGCCTGCTTGAGGCAGAGGAAATGTGCAAAAGGGCCCAGGAAAGAGGCCGGACCGGATGGGGCTTCGGCGCCAGGCTGACTTGGAGGGCCAGGGGCTTCTGCTAGAGCAGAGGGGCATTAGGGAGACCCACCCCTAGCCTAGGGGAAATGCAACCTTCAACCCACTGTCCTGATAAGCAAAGGCCAACAACTCTGTCCCTTGACAGTTTCTCATCCTCTGGTCTGGGTGGAGATGGCCTGGCACGTCCCTGCAGCCTTATCTCACTTCTCCCTGGGCCTCTCACAAACCTGCCCAGTCACTCAGAGCCTGACTGTCTTCCATCCCTGGCGTCCCTTGGCCACCCCCTCCCAGGAAAAGTGCTGTAAAAAGAAAAAAGGGGAATGTTAGAGAGAAAGGAGGAAATAAAGTCTTTGGAAAGCAGAGTTTTACAACAGCCACAGGTTTTATGGAAGCAATTTCGTAATAACCTTCTACCTGCTCGCCTCCTTTCCGCCTGCCTGCCGCCCACCCCGTTTGGCCTCCTGGATGCCCCCTCCCAAGGAGTCAGCCACCCCCACCGCCTTGGATATCCTTGATGGCTGAGAGTTGGTAAGAAGATTCCTGAGGTCGGCTTGGGCCACTGACCTCTCAGTCCTTCCTTTCACCTCTGACATCCTGGGAGGGAGGTTTGGCAGAAGATTTCGTTACTTCACTATTAAGATCCCCACTTGGGGGGTATGGAAGCACCGAGGTTTGCACCTGAGTGTGCAGATTCAATGTGATACCTGTTTTGGAGGCCGTTTTGCGTAAAGGGTAAGGATTCTGGGATCTTGTGCCCTTTCCCACTGGGACAAGTGTCCTCATGCCTCACTCTTTCCCAGAGTGGGTCTGGACTGTGATCTGGAGTCAGAAAAAATACCTCTGGTGCTTGAGGACATAGATTTGGGGACTTTTCTAATTTTGTTGTACACAGCAGTGCTTTTGCTTGACCTCCACAGTCACTTTCACACTCGGCTCATCTCTGTCCACTGCTGCTTCATAATTCTGTGAGACACATGTGCTTGTAAGTAACTGTGCCTCCACCCCCGCACCCATCGCTATCATGAAATAAGCATCACACAATGCACATCGTCCCTGTGGTCTTGGGTAAGAAGCACAGTAAAGGATTTTATGGTCCAACAAAGAAGTCACAAAATTTCATAACTTCTTCTGGGCCAATATGAAGCATTTCTTTTACCTTCCAGAGAAACATTTTGGAAAGAAGTTGTCGTAGAATCTATCTAGTGTTAAGTCATATGCATTTGTTTGAGGATACGCTGTATATTTTGCTTGAATATCAAGTCAAGGGACAGATTTTCAAGTGCGACATCCGAATTAGCTAGTATTTTATAGCCATAATTCAAGTACACAAATACCCAAGCTTTTGCTTTTCCATAGGTGTGTGATGGTTATAAAAATGTACACACAAGCTTTTGGACAACTGATCTTCTTACATGAGCAGAATCTTAAACCTCCATCACTCACAGGGGTTACCTGCATACACGAATACCCAAGCACATCAAGTTTCATAGCTGGGCAGATTTATTTATTACATATTCTATACACAGTATAGAGCACAGTGCATTTGCACACTGGGTTTCCCGTACAGAAATATTGATTTGAAATATACATATAGGACACACACATCTATTTACATAAAACATGCATACATTTCAGCTAAGCTTATTAATTAAAAACAAACTATTTTTC